TGCAATAGCTTTGTACATAAATGTTATCACATTTATACGCTGATGGAAAATAAAAGTTCAGCTTTACGGTAGCTTTTTATTTTTCAGTTAAAAAAAAAAAAATATTATTACAATACTTTGTGTATCATAGAGGTTATGAAAAAATTATTAATGTATAATATACATTAATAATTTTTTCATAACCTCTATGATACGCAAAGTATTGTAATAATAATGATAATTTTTTTTTCTTTATTTCGTTATTTAGGTGCCCCAAGAAGACTTAACGGTCTTGTTACAGAGCAACGCGGAAGTACATTTAACTAGGAAGTTCATGCCTCCTTCTTTACCGTGACGCGAAAATATTTCCAGATTTCCTTTCGTACCTCGATCTCCTGCTTTTTACTACTGCGCCACGGCTTGCCTAATTTTCCACCGTAAACTAAACCACTCTTCCGTGGGTATATTATAAAAAAACAATACAATTATTAACACACGAAAACAACTACACAACACAATATAATGGAAAAAAATATATACAATACACTACAATAATAACTTTTATATTTATACATGAAAGTCAAGATAGTATTTGTATCATCTCTGGTCCACAAGACATTTTGGTAAAACTATGTTTTATATTTTTGATAATATATAGTAAAATGTCGCAGCTTTTTTTGTCTCTAAAGCAAACTATACAGTATATAGCATAAAAGCATTTTTACTGAAATTTTTTTGTGTAGATTGTCACGAGTTTTTGCACGCACCATCTCAAAAATAAGCAAAACTAGGATCAAAAATTTAAAAAAAATAAAATAAAATTATAGTAAAAAATAATATTATTATTTTAATAATTTTTTTTTTTCACTTTTAGAAACCTATTCATTTAAACTAAAGCAATGCAACTTTTTTTTTTGATTAAATTATTAAGGATTGTCTAGAAAATAAATAAGAAAATATAGATTTTAATTTTATCTTTAATTACTTTTTTTTTTTTTTTTTACTATTTTTATAATTAAAGTTATTTTATTACTATTTTTTTTTTATCAAAAATAGTAATAAAAGATTAAATGCAATAAAAAAAACAGTTCAATTTTTCCCGCTCTTGGCTCCAGCTATTAGAAGGTCGAGATGTTTTTGTTAGTTGTTTCTTTCTGCTCTATACTATTTCTAATAAAAATTAATGAGTATCTTGACCATCTTATATCAAAAGTGTTTGCTATTTACTGATGATACGTGTATTCTAATCTAAATAAAGACATTTTTTGAATACCTAGAAGAGACACTTCAACTTTTTCACACCTTATTTTCACAGACATAAAGTCTCGTGATTATGCAAAATAACAATAGCGCAAGTTGTTACCATCTTGGATAGAGGAGAACAAATAATTAATTGAATTAATAAAGCAGGAGTATTCTTACAAATAAAAATTTTAAAAAAGAACTTTCGGTTTACGAATACTTAAAAAAAATAGATTTTAACGCCGCAGAAAGTTATATACAAAAAAAGGTAAATATAAACAAACTTGCAATCCTTGGAATCAACCAATGTCTATACAGTTCAAATACTCATCATTTTTGTTCACTCTGGTGCATTTTTCTACTGAAGACATAGACTCTTGTAGCGGTGGCTTACAACACTAAGAAATAATTGAAAGGTCCATGAGTCGAAATGAAGTCTAAATTAAGTGTTTCTTCAGGTAACTTAATAACTGAATTATGCACAGCATTCTGAATGTCCCTGGCTTTTCTTGTTTAGGCACCTGCTACTTGGAAGTGTGTTTAACCAGTTTGAATTGAGCCAAATGTTCGGTGCTCACCATTATGATGAAGAATCTTTGATTCAATGTCACACCAAGAACAAGGGTGAACACTACAGTGAGACTGCAAATCACAAATAATTTTTTCAAGCTTTATGTCACATGACAATACAAAAGGCAATCTCTGAAAGCTAAATTTATCCATGATCTGCTTTACGTTCATAGTTTTGTTTTAATTTTCTGCGATAGCCACAACAAGTTGATAATTCACTCATGAGTCCTTGAAGAGAGGTTTCTTATTTGGGGAGAAACATTTGGTTCAAAGTCAAGAACTCCTAGAGACTCTTTCAGATACTCCCACCCTCCATCAATTACCACCTTGACAATTTTTTTTGATTGAGGACCGATGCTTTTTCAAACAGCATAAAAAAATTTTTTTATATAAATTTAAGTTTTATTTAAAAACATTTTTTATTTAATGTTTTTTTATAAAAAAAAAATGTTGCCCTGCATTAAAAACTAGCGGAAAAGCTTGCTTGTTTTTTAGCATTTCCATTCATTGACACATTCAGAAAGTTTGATGCAGTTGTTCATGCCTCCATTTGGAAACGTTCCTCATGACAACTATCGCCTCTTCTTTGAAAAATTTAAGAATTCTTACCTTAAGCTTCAAAACACGAGTGTCACTCCAATAGCGCATGCTGTTTTATTTCATGTAATACAGTTTGTTGATTGCCACGACCACTTACTGGGTATCTATTAAGAGAAAGCAAAAGAATTACTCCATCATGACTTAAACCATCACCGGCAACAGCTTAAAAGATCAAGTAATCATCCAGACTACCTTAAGAATCCTCTAAACTGTTTGATTGAATTAAAAAGCAAGCATTCCTTATAACCTCTTTGTAGAACACACTGTATTATAACATATGAGTTCTAAGAAATTACCCTTCAACATCAATTTTTAAGAACTATATTCAATAAGAGTAAGCCTTTTTTTTAAGTTGCTTGATTTGTTAATCTAGAACCTAATTTTTTTTTTAATTTTCTTAAGAAGTTGAACGCTTTTTAATTTATTGTTGTTTCTAAGTTATAAGTATATTTCTTATTTATAGAATATGTTAGAACAAGTTTCAAATGCTTTTATTAGAAAATGTAACTCATTTGTTCAGAGCAATAAAATCAAAAATTCAAATCACTTTTTATTTCATGGACAATGATGAAAGATTTCAATAGCAATTCTAATGTACTTCTACATACTTGTACTTTCATACTCCTAAAGGTTTTTCTCGGGAAAAGAGGTTCGAATTAAAAGTCATTTCGTGACACAGTGGTTTAATATCGAAAAGTCATTTGAACCATATTTACAATATGATTGCATAGATGACATATAGATTTTGGAGCTTAACAATTTAGTTTTTCCCCAGGGCCCCAAGCGGACCTGGAGAGTAAATAAAAAACTAGGTAATAGTTAAAATAGTACATACTACTGTTATTAAATGAAGAAATAAAAACTAAAGATTGAAAAAATAAATTGAATGAAAAGATGTAAGGTGATTAAGATTTTTTAATCGACTTTTAGACGATTAGTAGCAAGCCCATAGTCGATTAAATCAACTATTCGATTTTTCAAAATCGACTAGTTTCGACTTTCGACTAGATAAATTTTAGTCGATTTAGTCGAAGCCGATAACATTTTGTTTTAAATTCATTGAAAGTTTCAAGGTTACTAAGTTTATTAGATAGAATTTTTTTCCATAGTTTTGGTCCTCTAATAGATATTAAAAACACAGTTGCGGCAAAAAAATTTAGGCTGAATATAATTGTTTTTTGAGAATCTATCTATGCTTATTCATCATGAATTACGAATTAAAAATGTTAAGTATTGTTTTTGCATTAACTTTATTCATAAAAATTAAAAAATGATAAATGTTTAGTTAGTAGACATTGATTATATTTAGCTTGCTAATCTAAAGAACAAAATAAACTAATAGTTTTGGATTAAGCAAAAATTTGACGAATTATTTCCGAAAATGCCACTTACGTTACGTAGAAAACAAAGTAAAAAAAAATTGTTTCGACTTTTAGGTTGGATTTCTGCAAATCGATAATGCGGTTCGTTAGTAAAGCATTTTACAAGATGTTGTGACACTTTCAATATGTTGTAAATATTAACAAAAAAAATTATTATTACTTATTTGAGTTATTCAAATGAGAAAATATTTTAGCTTGTCAAAAATTTTACAAACTTTTGAACTTCTTATGTGTCTCACCGTATTTTTCACTAGGTTTAAATTTTAAAACGCAGCAACAAATTTACATTTTATCTTTTTAATCTTTTAAATATTTGCGACATAAAAACTGTTATCACAATTTTAAAAACAATAGGGTGATTCAAAATATCTTATTTAATTAGGAACGTAAAAAACGTTTGTCTGTTGTTATGTTAACATACTTTAGATAAAAATTGCGAAAGATTGTTATTTTCTTAAGTTTTTATTTATTTAAAAAGTAAAATATTTGACCATTGTTAAACTGAACATGTTAAATCTATTTTCACTCTAATAATAATTTGGATAATGCAAACAAATTCATATTTAAACTAAGATTTTACAATGATCATGCGACTAATCTAAAAAACCTTAACTTTCCAGGGCCGACGACACGGGTTTCGAATTGGCGAAGCACAATCTTCAACGAGCCCCTAGCCTCACCCTCGGTGTCATTGGCCTTGCTTTCAGAACCATTAAAATGACTTAATTAAATTTATGATTTTTTTTTTATTTAAAATTGTTTAAGGTGCCCCTAGAAGACTAACGGTTTTATCACAGAGCACCGCAGAAAAGAATTTAACTAGTAAGTTTAGGCCTCCTTTCTTACTAATGTTGCGAAATAATCCTAGAGTTGAATCATGCAAGCAAGCGCTCTATCCATAGTGCCACGGCTGCAAAGAATTTTAATAATAGTATATTTTAATAAACTTTTATTTGCTCAAAGATAACAAAAAATAATAATATTATTTATTGACTACTTTATTATTTTCCCCTGTGAAATCACCCATATAGAAATTAACAGTTTCTTCAAAACACGCGAAATTAAGTAACTTTTAAAAAAAACTTGAGTTTACATTAAATAATTAAAATTATTCATTTTTTGTTAAATCTTAGATTCAAATTTCTAATTTAATTTTTTATTAAGGAACTAAAGATACCATTCTAAAAGTAAAATAATATAAAAAGATTTTTTCAAATTTTTATTTAATTTAATATCAACCGTCAATATCAATCATAACTAACATATAAGTTTCACAGATTAGTTTAAAGAACTATAGAATGAACCGTAAACGTCAACGCAAACTGTTCCATAATTATCTCGTTCTGTTAGAATAATAAGATCCTCGCCATTCCAAATTGTAATTTGTTAATCCACGGTATTGAAATTTTCTATAAGCATCATAAATAATTGCTTGACTTGTAGATGGAAAAATAATTTGTTGTTTTTCATCGCAAACAAAGACATTAAATAAATCGCCGTTAACGCAGCCAAATTTGCTCCCGGGAGTGACGGGTTACATTTCAAATTGTCACTAACATGTACAAGCTTAGCTGCAACTAACCAGCCTGATATATTTACAGAAACAACTGCTGGTTGATCACCTTTTGCCTGAAAACAAGCACTTTTTTTCAACAACACCCAATTCAAATCTAAAAATATATTTAAAGTTAAGAATTAAATAGTATTTAATGTAATAAAAACTGTTTATGTAAAGTATGTGAAATTTATAGACTTAAATGTTCATTTTGTTTATAAATACCATTTATAATAAAATAATTATAATAAAATATATATATATAAAATTATAATAAAATATATATATATATATATATATATATATAAAGTTTGATAACTCCCATTATTTATTGTCTTGAGGAGCAATAGGCACACTTAGTATCCTGTTTAATTGAAACTTTCTATTTAATTGAAAAGTTGTGGAGATACCGACAGTTTCACTACAATATAAATAAACATGTAAAAATAAAATTGTAATTCTTACACTTCTTAAAGTTTAAAAACTAATCAACAAACATAATAATTAAAATTTATATATCAAAATTATATATATGTACTAACACGCAATTTAAGGTAAAAATTAAGTATTACTTGATCAATCCACTAGATTGTACTTTGATAAAGTAGTTATGTGGATAATGGTATTTTAGAACCATATAGGGTTTTTATAACCAATAGGGTTAGCTATTATGTAAATAACTATATAGATATATTATGTATACAAAGTTATTTTAAATAAAAATTTACTAAAACATTGTAAATTTGATTTTAAAGTCTATCCTAAAAGGATTACATTGCTAAATATGTTCATAAGTCATAAAATTAACAGGTTTATTTAAAAATAAAGGAGTTCTATATAAAAGATATAGATTTAGACATCTTACTTGATTGGTCCATTCTAGAGTCTTTTGGTAAAGTAGTCACACTTAATTTGAATAAAGATATCTTAGAATGCGATTTAATGCTTGAGACAAGGTGGCTGTGGAAGTGGTGATGGTTTAACTAAAATATAAATCCGAGTGTATATTGTCTGAGATATGTTCATTACAATTATTATTAGTCTTCAAAGATGTAAAGTAGGACAACTTACTTGCATAATCAATTGAATATACTTGCAGTACCACATCCATAATCTTTTTGTATAATTAAACATTTGTAACTTTTTTTTATACTTAAATGCATCATGCATGCTTGCTATATTATAATACAGCATGCATGAATAATGCATGCAAGTATTTTTGGCACTAAGGTCTTCACAAACTTTATTTCATGTTTATTGTTACATCAAATTAGCTAACCTGTCAATATTCGTACCTTTTGCATTAACATTAACATAAAATTCTTCCTCAACTGAAAAATAAAAACTCTTTTACTATTCCATAAAAATACTATAACCATAAAAATGGTTAATCATTTACTAACTAAAACTTGCTTCTTTTTTTTTTTTACATAAAAATTAGAACAAACTAAATAAAACTATTATTTTTAAATTTATAATATATATATATATATATATATATATATATATATATATATATATATATATATATATATATATATATATATATATATATATATATATATATATATATATATATATATATATATATATATATATGTATATATATATATATATATATATATATATATATATATATATATATATATATATATATATATATATATATATATATATATATATATATATATATATATATATATATATATATATATATATATATATATATATATATATATATATATATATATATATATAATATTATTTGCTTTAACAAGCGATTTATTCAATTTTTAGTGCAGTTTTTCCATAATTAACCATGTCTACTGTAATTGCATTAAACTAGTAATATTAACTCTGAAGAAATTGAAAAAAAAAAATAATTTAGTATAGAATAATGCACAATTATGGATTAATTATATGTTATTATTTTCAATTTATATATTATTAGTTTCTATATAAACATTAACAAATTAAAATAAAACCTTTAAAAGAGTTGTAAAATCAGTACTTTTGCGCTTTTTTGATATCTGCTGATTATGAATGCTTTCTTCAGTTTCTGATATTTAAAAGTTTTGCAATCCTCATAACAATCTGTAAAAGAAATAACAAAACATCTTATCCTATCTATTAAAGAAATGACAAATAAATTTAAAAAGTAAATTATTTAACATTTTGTGAATAAAAATTATCATATCACAAACTAAAATAACAATTCAATAAAATATCAAGCTTCTGGTTCTTCAAACAGACTGGCGATATGACATTTTGCTAAAATGTTAACACTAATTTGGTTGAAGGTACATCAACACATAACATTAACTTGTTAAAAGCGTTTTAAATAAGTTTAGTCATCTAGTTTTTTAGCTTTTTTTGCAGACTTTAGTTTTCCTAATTCCGAGGGATGATATACTTATACATACTATATATTTCAACCCGTTAAAACTTCAAGCTTGGTAGGTTTTTCATAACATAATAAAATTAAAAAAAAATAATGCTATAAATATTTCAATAGCTTTTAGATATAGAGCATAAGATAAAAACTAAACAATTTGAACTCTCTTTTAACTAATTTAAACTTTAAAGACTCGAACCAATCATCAATGTACTTTTTAAATATAACAGGAATTACCTTTAATCTTACATTAATTTTTAAGCGTTGAATTTTTATTATAGCTTTTCAGAAGCTTGAGCAATTAGATTATGATTTAAAAGGTAAATATCTGACAGATGTTCAACTATTAGAATCAAAGTACAGAGTTAGCACTTTATCTTGTGATTACTAAAAGAATAACTATTAGTTTTAAAAATCACTGCAGTTTTTATTTACAGAATCTTTACAGAAATAGCCATTAACTTATTTATTATTTTAGGAAAATCTAAATTTTAAAGGAGTAAAAAAGTCACAAAAACTTACCACTTGCATGTGTACTTGGCTGTTTCCTGCTGCTTTAATTGTTGTTGCAACTGACTGGACTGTATATAAAATATTAAATGAAATTAAACACACAAAACTTAACAATAAAAAATATATTTATGCGGATTTCATAAAATTATGTAATATAGCTATATATATTATTGTTCAAAATATGTTAACTTTTCTACTAAAGAGAAAATAAATGATACAATATAATAATCATATCAGACATAAGTAAATTTATTTTCTCTTTAGTGGTTATCATATAGGAGTATGAATACTACTTAAATTTTTAAAAATATTTTTTAGTTTACATTAAAAGCCTTCACTAAAACTGAAGATCCATTATATAAATATTTCAACCTCACAATTTTTAATTGGCACTGACTGCACTAAAAGTATAAATATAACATTGCTATTCGATCAATATAACATCTATCATAAACAAATAGATGTTAGGTCTTAAAATAAACAAAAAATAATAATTTTATTTAGTTATTTAAAAAGTAGCTACGACTTAAAATGCATAATTTTCCTCTAAAACTTTTAGAGAAAATTTATGCATTTTAAGTAATATTTTAGCGTTGTTAAAAACCAAACAGAAAAAACAATTTAAGAAATAGTTTAAAAAGATGCTGAAATTGCTACTTTTCTGAAACTACTGCTACTTTTTTGAAACTGCTATTTTAGTAGCTATAACTAAAAAAAGAATTATCAAAATATATTGATACTGTACTTAAAATTACTTTTAATCGCTCATACAATATCATCGAAGAACTTACAGGACTTTTTAACTCCTTCATTAGCCACAATATAACACTAAAAACAAATTTCTTTTATTTTTTCTAAACCTTTATTACATAATTTAAGATTAATAAGAAACTCTAATTTTTAATCATAATGAAAGATTCAAAATGTCCGACACATTTTGTAAGAAACTAATTTAATTTAGTTAGTTCCGTACGGAAATCGTTTGATTTAGCTTTTCAACGCAAATTAAATATTCAGAACACGTTTAGATAAGATTCCTAAACGTTTAGATCGACGTAAATGCCATCTAAACGTGATCTAAACCAATTTTAAACCAACAAATGCCCGTTGGGATTGTTACTCAGTCACGTAAGTAACGAAACACTTTTTTTTTCAAAATAATTCTAAAATCCTGCCGAGATATGTTGCTGGTAGCTATAATTTTAAATGGTTATTTTTAGTTCAAAGTTTGGTATCTCATTACTTTTATTACAGTTACGTTTCTAACAATATCTTTTGCTATTTTTCGCATAAAACTCTGAATTTTTACAGTTTTTTTTTAGATTTAAAAGATTTATAAATTGCACACTATGTAGAAATTGAATGTGTATGTCTAAAAAGGTAATTTATATATATAAGGTATATATAAGTATATAAGTATATTTATATATATAAGGTATATATAAGGTATATATAATATATATTATATAAGGTAAATTATATTAAATGAACATAAAAAACATTGATATTCCTTCTATTTTATTCAAAAAAGAACCCTTACTGTCGGTACATGCAACAGTTTCCATCAACATAAGTACGCAAGCAAGAACAACTAACTTCATTTTTTCTTAAAGGATTCTTCTTTTTCTTCATAACGAAACCAGTAAAAGAAATCAATAAACGCATAGACACATTTAACATATAAAAGTATATATAAAAATAAAACAACTAAAAACATATTAATACATATAAACAATAAAAATATATAAACAGGCACGCTGAATACACACACGCACACAACGCATGCTCTCATTAAATTTTAGTAAGTCAAATAAAAATTAAACAAAAAAAAGTTAAAAATTTTAAAAAAACTGTTAAAGTTTCATAAAAGCCATTGGTTCTGATTTGTAAATAAATAACTTATAAGTTGTTAAAAAACAATGCATAAATAAACTTATAAAACATGAAATATATTCCTATATTTTGAATTTGTAGAATACTGCCTGATTACATGGTGAAAACGGCTCGCTTGCATGTGAAACAGCAATTTATGGATTTTTTTAGGGATGGTTTATAAGTTGCGTAACGCTAAACTCAATTTAAAAATAGAAGTAGAAGTTCATTTGCTCTTTTGCATGGAGATTTTCATTGAACTTAAACCGCTATTTTGAGCTTTAATTTAATAAATTTAATTTAATAAGCGTTTAATTAAAGACTCTGTGAAGAAAAAACTTTTCTTTTTAGTTTATTAGTTTAATTATAGAGTTGCGTAATTTATAGACGATTCCTTACATATTCTACGGAACTATGAGATTTTTTTTGAAAGAAATTGAAGTGTAATTAAGTGTGTTGAGGTATTAATTTTTTATCTTTAAAAAAATCGAATCCCACTTAAAATTTGTTAAATTTTTGTGGGACTTGATTTTATGATGTGAGGTGAAGTTTTGTTATCAATATATCTAAAACAAAACTTCACATCATATATGTTTCATCTATATGTTTTTTGTTTTTTTTTTTCTTTTTTTTTTTTTTTGTTCTTTATTACAATATTTATTCAAATATATACAAGAAATAAAATTATAAGTAAAAAATTCGTTAAAAAGAAGTAAAACTTTCGCAATATTTAATAAACAAAACAAAGAACGCGGACACTCGAAGAAGACCATTAGGTCTTGTCACTAAGAACTTTTGTTTACTATAGTAAACAAAAGTAAACTAGACCCTCTTCATTGTCATCAGAAACATATAGAACGTTTAATTTATTCTTGTGATCAACGAACTCATTCAAAGCCTCTCTTAAGAAAAATGAATGTTTTAAACATATATTAACTTAACTTATATTATAATATTCTTTGTTTTATGTACAAATGTAAAACGAAATTATCTCTGTCTCCTTTTCATAGTTTATTTATAACAAAACAAACAAACAAAAAAAAAATGATCTACGAAATTATGATTTTTTGATGCAATCATTTTCGAAAACTAATAATTGTAAATTTTGCTTAATATTTTATTGACTGTATCTTTGGAACAAAATTGTCTTAAATAACTTTGATTTTTCTTTTGAATGGAATTACTTTTTTTTAAAAGATATGTAATATCTTTTAAACTGACAATATACAAATTTTTAACACCTTTTTAAACTCTTTTTATCTATTTTTTATAACGGTTTATATGATTTGTAATGTATGATTTCTCTTGATATAATTTGTAACTCAATTATTTACGATCTGCAAGCCTATATTGTTATAATATTATCTGTCAAATTATCTTTAAGAATTTTTTTGTGAACTTTTTGTTTTTTTGTAGTTTTTTAAGTTTAAATCTTGACATTCCTTCATTATTGCAAAAAACTTACTTTTTTATTTACTACGTTAAATACTTTACTTGCAAAAATGTAACGTCTTTTTACAGCGGTACTCGACGACAAGACCATAAGGTCTTCAACGAGTTTCCGCGTTCTTTTTACAAATATATATTAAATATCTTCACTTGTAATTGTTTATATTTTTTTATTTTAGCTTGTAAATTTTATGAAACATCAACGTGATGTTTTAAAATGAAACAAATAACAAAAAAAAAAAAAAAAAAAAAAAAAAAAAACTCAATGCTACTTTGCAAGGCCTAAATGCATTAAAATCTATTTGACTAATTATTGACTAATTATTATTATTGTTATTATTATTATTATTATTATTATTTATTTATTTTTTAAATATTGTAACAAAATGCTTATTTAAAATGTAATAAAAAAAAAAAAAAAGACTTTAATAACTTTAAAAGTACATACTTTTTAATTTCGTTAATTTTAAATTAAAAAAGTAAACAACTTGAAACAATAAAAACAATCAAACAATAAAAACAATAAAACAATCTTGCAATGGACAAAAAAAAAAAGCAATTCATAATTAGAGTTCGTGAATAAAGCACGTACGTACGAAAAAAGCTCTAAAACGCTTGCATCTCTGTCCAAATGTGGAGGCACTAATATTGTAAAATTATAAACTTTACTATCTCGACTAGTTCTTAACGGACTTACTAAGGAGGAGTTCCTGAAAATATCGCCTGCCTTAAATAAGTTTATTTTTATTTGATTCGCCACTAAAACACAAAAAAACAATAAAACTCAATCTCCGCCGACTAAGTCCAAAACATAAACATCTCGGCTAAGCATACACATTCGTGTGTGTGTGTGTGAAAACGTTTATTAAATTTGGGTTCTGTGCCGTAAACAAAGGGCTTTGGAGTAGAATAAAGTATCTAAAATTCCTCCTCCATCTTTTTTTTTTTAATAATTTTTTTTATTGAAAAAAAAGTTCAGGGGGGTATATGATAAACCTACACTTTTTTAAGGGGTTGGAGACTTAAATGTTCGCATGGCAACAGGGGGTAGGGTAGTGTCAAATTTCGAAATTTTTGACGTACGTACTTTATGGACGATCCCTAATGAACAAAATAAAAGGCCGTTTTATAGAGTTACTATACTTAACTTATTGACATTATTCTATTTACACAAAAATGCTATTTAAATCAAAAAAAGAAGAATTAAATTTTATGAAAACAAGATACCGCAATATTGACAAAACAACAATTATAAAATCACAATAAGATAAACGGTTTTAAAACAGATATAACAGTTGCAAATAAACAACAACGCAGTTCACTTTCGTTGCACGCTTTCGTTTTCGCTGCACGTGTCGTTGCACGCTTTGCAACGTTTCGTTGCACGCTTTGCAACGTTTCGTTGCACGCTTTCGTTTTCGCTTCACGGCTTTCAAATAACATGTGCTTTAATATAGAAGCTTTCTTTATCAAAGCACATGTTATTACGCAATGCTAAATTTATTTAAAAATCAGAAGTAGGAGATCTTAAGCTTTTTTACGCGGCGATTTTCATTATACTTCCCAGCCGGCACAACTCAGAAAATAGTTACGCTTGGTTTCTGTTGCGTTTTTAAAACCTTCTAAAATAAAAGGAATAACACGTATCAAAAACGGTTTTTATTCCGTGAAATTAACTATTACTATTTACCATAAATACCAGTTAAAGTATTAATGGTTTCACAGTTATGGAAACGTAGTATCATATTGCAATGACTTTCCGTAAGGAATGTGAAACCAATGATAAAAACATGTGACATTCAAATTTGACTTTAAAACCTCAAAAAACACGTATTAAACTCTAGTAAAACTACCGGTAAAATACACGTGCTTTTGGTTTACGCCTGGATCGTGAAAAACACGTGCCTATATAGGTTTTATTTCCGAAAAAAAAACTAGATGTGCCGATAGGGTTATGCGTTGTTTTGATTTTTTATTTATAACTTAAAACTCTGCTAGGGAAAACTTTTTTTTTTTTTTTTATTATTAGTGAAATTTAGCGTTGCGTAATTTATGGACGATCCCTTAGCATATTTTATTTACTTTTGAATATTTGATTTCCGCATGTTTACGTATAATTTTCAATTGGACTTTGATTGCGTTTTGAGCGATAATTTTGTTCAATAACCATAAAATGGTCAAAGATTTTGATTACATAAAAGATGCCGTAACTCAAAGGATACGCACGTACCTATATATATATATATATATATATATATATATATATATATATATATATATATATATATATATATATATATATATATATATATATATATATATATATATATATATATATATATATATATATATATATATATATATATATATATATATATATATATAGAGAGAGAGAGAGAGAGAGAGCATAAAATATGTGTTATATTTGAACTAACAATGAAACAAAATTAATAGCTATGAAACAAAGTCATTTAGTACATTTGTGTTACATTTCTCAAATATAAGATGCACAGCAATTTTATATATTATTTAATTTGAAATAATTTCTTTAAATATTAAAGTTATGAGTAAAATACTAATATTAATTATGCTAATATAATTTTATTTACTTACATAATCTAAATAATGTATATAGTAATATAAGTTCAACAATAATATTAAAGATGTTAATATAATCTAAACTTAACATCGTAATCCTTGTATAATAAAATTTTTATCTTTAGCAACGAATCTGTAAAGAATCCATAATGCATAAAAAACTATAGTGTGGTCTGCTACTAATTATATGGGTAAATTGAACATGTATAAAAGGCATATATGTTTTATATATAGCCGCTTCTGTATCTAAAAGCCGTCACCATCTTTAAAATTGTAAAATTTGCATTTCACACTGCGCTTGCGTACAATAACTTTCCACACCTAAACGACCGTGGACGAGCCTTAAAGAATATATAAATTGCATTTTGAATGTTCACGTTTCAGTATAAGAGTTGCAAGGAAGCCATTTTCATTATGGAATTGAGCAGTTCTCTAAAATTCAAAATTTAAAGTTATATTATGTTTTGTTTTATGAGTTTGTTTATGCATTAAATTTAAACAATACATTAGTTATTTATTTACAAATCAATAATAATGGCTTTTGTGAAATTTTAACAATTTTGTTAAAAGCTCTAACTTTTTTTTGGTTTAGTATTTATTTGACTCACTAAAAATAAATGTGTGCTTGCGTTGTATTTGTGTTTGTGTGTTCTGAGTGCCTGTTTTTATGCGTTTGTTATTTATATGTGTTTATATGTTTTTAGTTGTTTTGTTTTTAGTTTTTATATATTTTAATACGTTAAATGTGTTTATATGTTTACTGAATTTTTTTTCTGGTATCTTTTTAAAGAAAAGGAAGAATTATTTAAGAAAAAATGAGGTTTATTGATTTTGCTTGTGTAGTTATGTTGATGACAACTGTTTCATGTAGCTACAGTACCTACAGTAAGGGTTTTCTTATTTTAATAAAATATAAAGAATATCTATGTTTTTTATGAGCATTTATTATAAATACATTTTTAAGCATAACAGTTTGTTCAATTACATAGAGTGTGCAAATTATAAACCCATAAATTCTAAAATTAAAAAAAAAACTCAGAGTTTAGTGCTAAAAACAAGTAAAAGAGATTTTTATTTGGAGTTCATGAGGCAACAAAAAACAATTTTTATTAATTTTATTCAATCTTTTGAGTCACAAAGTTTGCAATTCTTGCAAAGTTTAGCTAAAACTATAAAGAATCTCTGCTTCTCAAAAGCAGGTGATGAATTAGTCTCAAACTTTTATTTTATAAAAGTGTTTTTGTGCTCACATCAAGTTTCGATTTTTACCAATTTTCAATATGTTCTTTCTTTTCTTTTTATTAAATCGGATTGAAATGTAACTTAATAAAAGTAATAAATGAGACACCAGAAACCGCAATGAGGTACGAACAATAGTTAATGAAATACCAAAAATAGTAAAGGAGATAGCAATATCTAACTGTAGTACAGTCAAAATTTCATTAAATTTTTTAAAACAATAAATAAGGTTAGCTGTGCATTTTTTCTTTGAGCTATAAATAATCTTTTTAAATTATAATTACCAGCGAATTTCATCGTCAGAATTGTAGAATAATTTCAAAAGAGAAAGTGTTTTGTAACTCACGTTACTGAATAAAAAATGTAAGTTGTTGCAGTTCAAAACACTACCCGGCTTATTATTTCCAAGCAAAATGAACATTTAACTTTAAGAATTTCAAATACTTTACATGAACATTTTTTATTACATTAAATTCACTTTAATTCTTAGATTAAAATATATTTTTAGATTTGAATTGGGTGTTGTTGAAAAAAAATGCTTGTTTTCAGGCACGAGATAATCAACCAGCAGTTATTCCTGTAAATAAATCAGGCTGGTTAGTTGCAGCTAAGCTTGTACACGTTAGTGGCATTCTAAAATGCTACCCGCCACTCTCAGGAAGCAAATTTGGCTGCTCTGATGACATCTTATTTAATACTTATGTTTGCGATGATAAACGACAAATTATTTTTCCATCTCCAAATCAAAAAATTACTTATGACACTTATAAAAATTTTCAATACCGTGGTTATTCTCCAAACGACAATGAAGTAGTTTTTACCGATTTGAGTTACCCTGTTTACTTAAACGCTGGAAAACAAATTACAATTTGGAATGGGGAGGATTTGGCTGATAAAACAGAAGAAGATAATTTTGGAATTGTTTGCGTCGACGTTTACGGTTCATTCTTTGGTTCTTTAAACTAATCTGTGAAGTTTGTTTGTTTGTTGTAAACATGGAAAAAAACAAAAAAAAAAAATAAAAAATCTTACCTTTTTTTATTATTGTACTTTTTGACTGAAATCTTTAGTACATGGGCATCTAAGCATCACCACTGATGCGCTTGTATCAGTCTTTTTATACTGCTAAATTTAAGTGTATCTCTCTTGCACTTTTTTCTTAACAAATAGTTCAATTAGAAACTAGAATCCGAGATTCAATAAAAATGAAACATTTTAATTATTTAATGTAAACTCGATTTTATGATTCCACTTTGAAACCCAATGTATTTATTTATTTCAGTTAATCGTTTACAATAGTTATATAACTAATATAAACTAATTAAAACTAACACACTAAACTGTATAAGGCAATACAAACAAACATACATACCGTGAGTCTAAAAAAAAAAATTAAAAATAATTTACACAGTAAATAATTTAAATGTCAATAAATACAACAAATTGGTTATTTTTTGACGTAAAAAAAAAAATTAAAAATAATGATTTTTGCCAGATTTTACAAAAACAACCCAGCAGGCGCAGAACTCAATCAAACGTCTTAGGGACGTCCTAACTAGGTCACGACGTCTCAAACCAAATTAGGACGTCCTAAAGGAGTCCGGTAAAGACATTTTGGTTAGGAAGTCCTGTTGGTGTCTACATTAGGACGTTATCAGGACTTCCCTATTTAGACGTCCTATTAACGTCCCTAAGACCTACTTTAGACGTCCTAATTACCTTAGAAATAAAACTTAGCGCATAAAATATTATGCGCTAATGTATATATATATATATATACACACATATGTATATATACATATATATATATATATATATATATATATATATATATATATATATATATATATATATATATATATATATATATATATATATATTATAGTGTATATATTATAATACATGTATATTATAATATATACATATATATATATATATATATATATATATATATATATATATATATATATATATATATATATATATATATATATATATATATATATATATATATATATATATATATATATATATATATATATATATATATATATATATATATATATATATATATATATATATATATATAGGTTAAGAAGAAAAAAAAAGAAAGTAATAACTAAATATTTTATAACTGTGTTATATATATATATATATATATATATATATATATATATATATATATATATAGCATATATATATATATATATATAGCATATATATATAACATATATATACAACATATATATATATGTGATGATAGAGGTATCGTCCTAAAAAAATGCAAAAATAAAAAAATAAGAAGAAACATGTTCCTCTTATAAAAAATACTGAGGGGGACTTATAAAATTACTGATAAAAAAAGGGGGGTGGGGGAATAAAAAAATAAAAAATGGTGGGGGAATAAAAATTTAAAAAATGGTGGGGGAATAAAAATTTAAAAAATGGTGGTGTTATCAGGTTTCAAAAGATGTTAAGCAGGTGTTAAGCAGGTGTCCAATATGGGTGTTTGATAACACCACCATTTTTTAAATTTTTATTCCCCCACCATTTTTAAAATTTTTATTTCCCCACCATTTTTTAATTTTTTATTCCCCCCGCCTTTTTTTATCAGTATTTTTATAAGTCCCCCTCAGTATTTTTTATGAGGAACATGTTTCTTTTTATTTTTTTATTTTTGCATTTTCTAGGACAATACCACTATCATCATATGTATGTGTGTGTGTGTGTGTGTGTGTGTGTGTGTGTGTGTGTGTGTGTGTGTGTGTGTGTGTGTGTTAGGATAATGAAAAAAATAATTTTTTTTTCAACAATCCTCACCTCAACTATATTCTATTTAATAAAATAACACTAGATATAAAATTAAAAGACCCTTAAACATAAGACAAGTTCATAATATTTTCGATTATTTGTTTTAATTAAGTCTAGCTGGTACTAAAAAGATGCAAAAACTTAATAAAAATTTTAAAAATAATAATAGTTTTATTTAAAAAAAAAAACATTTAAAAATAGTTATTATTAAGAAACAAAATGTTGACTTTTATTTTTATTCAAAAAACCATAGTTTTTATTGAAATAATATTTTTTTTATATAAAATGATTATTTTTTTTTGATAACTTGATTTATTATTGCATGTTTTGAGTACTTGTATCAAAATTTTTATCTTTTGATATTTTATTATATAAAACACATTTTTTAAACAATTGTTTAAAAAATACTGAGGGGGACTTATAAAATTACTGATAAAAAAAGGGGGGTGGGGGAATAAAAAAATAAAAAATGGTGGGGGAATAAAAATTTAAAAAATGGTGGGGGAATAAAAATTTAAAAAATGGTGGTGTTATCAGGTTTCAAAAGATGTTAAGCAGGTGTTAAGCAGGTGTCCAATATGGGTGTTTGATAACACCACCATAAAATGATTTTTTTTTTTTGATAACTTGATTTATTATTGCATGTTTTGAGTACTTGTATCAAAATTTTTATCTTTTGATATTTTATTATATAAAACACATTTTTTAAACAATTATTTAAAAAATACTGAGGGGGACTTATAAAATTACTGATAAAAAAAGGGGGGTGGGGGAATAAAAAAATAAAAAATGGTGGGGGAATAAAAATTTAAAAAATGGTGGGGGAATAAAAATTTAAAAAATGGTGGTGTTATCAGGTTTCAAAAGATGTTAAGCAGGTGTTAAGCAGGTGTCCAATATGGGTGTTTGATAACACCACCATAAAATGATTTTTTTTTTTTTGATAACTTGATTTATTATTGCATGTTTTGAGTACTTGTATCAAAATTTTTATCTTTTGATATTTTATTATATAAAACACATTTTTTAAACAATTATTTAAAAAATACTGAGGGGGACTTATAAAATTACTGATAAAAAAAGGGGGGTGGGGGAATAAAAAAATAAAAAATGGTGGGGGAATAAAAATTTAAAACACATTTTTTAAACAATTATTTAAAAAGCTACTTTTTCAATCATCCTAATATATATACATACAAATGTTAAATAGAGAATGAAATTTTTTCTTATAATTTTAATGGCATTGCTTTCGAAGCAAGCTTATTGTTTGCTCCTGACCTCCTGACGTTTTACACTTATTTTTGTTATATGTTCAAGTGAATGCAGTGCCGGATCAAAAGGGGCTAGGGGGGACTATAGCCCTGGGCCCCGCAAATTTAGGAGCCCCAAAAAATTTAAGAGGACCTTTTTCTTTTTTTTTTTTTTTTTTTTTTTTTGTCATTTTTAGGCTCTGGCCCATAAAAAAGCCTCAAAAAACAAAAGTAGCCCCGGGCCCCGAGAAGTCTTAATCCGCCACTGAGTGAATGTAATCCTAATGCATCTTGTGTAGGCACTAGTTGTATTTGTCATAGTAGTTTTATTGATGATGGAGTTAGTATTTGTGAATGTATGTTGTTATTTTAATAATCTTTGAATATAAATTTTGTAAAAGCATATTTTTTCAGTAGATATATGTAAACTTGTTTAACTTTGAAGCTACATGTTCAAGTATGTGTCATCCTAATGCTACTTGTGTATACACAAGTTGGGTTTGCATAAAAAGGTTTTCTTGGTGATTGAGTTAGAATTTTTAAAGGTACGTAATAAATTCATTAAGTAGAATCGATTCACTGCTTATGTTCAACATTCCAATAAGTTAATTATAATAAAATCTAATTGTAATTAAAGTTATCGAAAACTTTCGAAAATGTTAAACAAATAACTTTGAAAGATGTCCTAATTTTTTTTAAAGTTTCAGTAAATTTTTTTTTCACCTAGACCTCAAAAAAAAAAAAAAAAAATAGAAGCAGTATAACTGGTTTTGATAAAACCACTTTTGTTACAGCCACTAAATTTGTTATAAACTAACTATATTTTTAATATATGCTCATGTTGTGTTTGATGAATCGAAGTTTAATTCATTTATAGGTGTAAATATAAATTTTTAAACTTGAATGAACACGTTATGAAACTTTTATACATTATAGATGTATCATATTTGACAGAAATCAATACAATGATTCGAAAAATTGATTCACATGAATGAAGTAAGTATTGATTGAGTTAAAAAAAAAAATAAAGAAAGAAATAATTTATATAATGAGTTATAGATTTACGTAAAAGGTAAATTATTAAATTTTGCATTGCTGTCTGATATTTACAAAAATGCATTTTTTGACAAAAAGAAAGAAACTTGCGATAAATTTTATAATTAGTATATTTATTATTGTATTGTTTAAAAATGAGATAATGGATTTATTGAAGAGGTAAGTTCCATGTTTTACAATGTTAAAACGTAAAAAAGAGAAGTTTTAAATTAAAAATTTTACTATCTAACTTGAGTAGAAAAATTTATCAATTGATGCACCAAGTTAACCTAAACCCAGCTTATTGCAAGAAACCCCAGCTTATTACAAGAAACCACAGCTTATTGTAAGACACAACAGTTCTTTACATGACATTCCAGCTATTGTAAGACACCCCAGCTTATTGTAAGACACCCCAGCTTATTGGAAGACACCCCAGCTTATTGTAAGACACCCCAGCTTATTGGAAGACACCCCAGCTTATTGGAAGACACCCCAGCTTATTGGAAGACACCCCAGCTTATTGTAAGACACCCCAGCTTATTGTAAGACACCCCAGCTTATTGGAAGACACCACAGCTTATTGGAAGACACCACAGCTTGTTGCTCATTGAGCAACCATTTTACTCAAAGCCTTTTTTTATAAAAACATTTAAGAAAAAATATATATATTTATTAATTTTGAATGTGTTATTAGAAATAGAAATGAAAACGAAAAAAAGTGCACGGATTCGGAACTATATTGTGAGTTTACAAACTCAACACCCAACTATTCGAAACTTTTATATCAAATATTTCAAAATGTAACGCCTGGTAATCCAAAAGCGTTTACTTCAGGAATCAAGTAAGTGGATTTTTTTATTATTATTAAGATGTTACATTTATTATTTATAAAATTCTATTAAGTTTTTTTTTACAAATACAAAGTAGCGGTGCGCAGTGGTTTGAGTTCTGGCTCAGAAACAAGAGTTTTGAAGTTTGACGCCGGCTCTAGCCCAAAATGAAGGAAGCGTAAATATTACAATTTGTATGAAATTGAAACTAAAATATTAGTAATAGTAATAGTAATACAGATGCTGTAGCAAGTTAAAATGGGAAATACATTTATGGTTATATATGCGTTATGACAGCCTATATTACTTGTTATTTTATTTAAATTAATTTATAAGTTGTTAAAAATCAAAATAATAAATAAAAAAAGTTAGAGTAAAATAAACTTCACAAAATTTATAATAAAAATATATCAAGTGTTGCTTTGAAGAGTTCAAAGACCACGCATTCACCACGTGAATTGATAATGCATTCTATTCATTCGCAAAGCGGTTAATAAATAGAATACAGTTACTAAATAAAGACATAGAATGCAATACGGTTACTAAATAGATACTTAAAATGCTTGACATTTTCTTTTTCAATTTTCAGATTATGACCTCTTATTGCTGATGCTGGTCCGATTGCTCGGAATGACGGTGCAAATTGTTGTGGTTTCAGCCATGTAATGTCATCTATATTGTTCAATAATTTTTACTTTTGTATTAGATCGCCACGCAAACAATGTCTCCAACATAGTCAGTTTCATTATGGATAGTTGTTCCTCATAACACACATGTTTAAGATTTTATTCTAGTTTAGTTGCACGACGTTCGACAATTTTTTTTTTTTTTAATTTTTTTGTTTAAATTTCAATTTTTTTTATTAATAAATGTTTTTATATTATTTAGAGTTCATTTTAAGGAGCTTGATGGGCTGTTTGGCGTGAGATCGAATTTGATAGCGGGTTGATGCCATCATTGTGTAGATTTTTTTCTTTTTCAACTTATTGGTGGCATTAACCCGCTTTTTTCGGAAGTCCTTTTTATTTTTTGTTATTCTGCATGTCATACGAAGAAATCCTTAACTATCAAAATATATTAACCCAAAAATCTTCAATCTTACACTTGGAGGATTGGCATCTTAAGGAACAATTTCACATTATTATCTTAGCATAACTGATCTGGCCAGAAGAGACATTGGTATTTGTGCTTTTTAATAATGGCAAAACTACTTTTTTGAAGGCATTCTTTGATGTAGAGATGGGCAGTCAAGATCTTTTTAGTGAAAAAACAAGAAGACTGCATACCACAGCTTCAAATTGCTTGCCACACAAGGCAACTTGGATGCAAATTTTTCTCTTCGAATATATTTAAGTTGATCATCGACAGGTTTATATTTGTTCTCATAGTAAAATTGTTGATCAGGAAATTGTAAAAAATTCACCTTGCAATATGTTTCGTCGTCTTCAATAATGCACATACTTTTACCCACCACTATTTTAAACAACTTTTTTGCGCGTCAAACTCCTTTAATTTGACCATTTAAGCTTCTCTTAGGTGTATTTTTCCATCGTTTTTAAATACTTTTTCGATATAAGAACGCGAAGCCTTGAACTCTCTTACTAAATCTTGCTGTGACTGGATTGGACTTCTGGTTATTCTACGTAAAATCAACTTTACCTTTTTGGATTTATAGAAAATTTTAATTCTTCCACTTCCAGGTTTTCTTTCGAAGCTTTGAGTATTCTTGAACTTAATTATTATATCTATAATTGTAGATTTTGGGATATTAGTACATTTAGCAATCAAGCAATATGAAGTCGATGGATTTTTCCAAAAAATTTCACAACTTTTTTACGCACCTTAATTTTTTTCAAAAACATTTTGCAAATCATTAAATTATAAACAAATTTTTATCAACACAATTAAATGTAAGAAAGTAAAGTTTAATTAAAAAAATAAAAGAAATAAAAAGCATTTGTGGTTTAAAGAAATCTCGATTTAAAGTTGACCGGATTTTTCCGTGTCCAACCGACTCGTATATATGATCTGAGGGTTTTTTTGCCCAGTATGCATAATCTTGCACTTCTCTTTGTTTAACCCCATTAACCATAAACTTGTCCGTTCAACTAACTTGCTGATATCCTTTTACAAACTGATCGTATTCGAAATGTTATTTTATCGCTTTTATTAGCTTGCTGTCATCAACGTAAAGTTTACATATACATTGTAGTGTTCCTGGTATGTCGTTGATGAATATCAAAAGAAAAAGGAGTCTAATAATAGATACCTGAAGAGCACCACTAAATATATTCAACCATGAGAATGAAACTTCTCCTATTACAACGCCTTGCCTACAATTGGTTAAAAAAACCTTCATCCGTCTCAACAAAACACCGGATATCCCATATGCTTCACACATGAGTAATAAACTTTTGTTCGGTACTTTATCAAAGGTCTTGCAGAAATCAAAGTATATTATGTCAATTGGACACTTACGCTCCATGTATGTTGTTATATAATCTATTATCTCCAGTAAGTTGGTTAAACAAGCTTCTCTTCTTCCCAAAATCATGCTGGTGCCGCGATAAAACATCATTTAGTTTCAAATGGTCAGTAGTTGCTACATGTATAAATCCTTCTAAATGACTCCTGGATGACTTCCAAAACTCTCATAATTTTTTAATCGAGTAAAATTTACACACACAATTAAAATATATTTAAAATGGAAATAAAATCCTATACCCGCTTAGCGATGTATAGGATTTTACTTATATTTTTACGACGCATGTTGCAATGAAACAAAATGTTGTTTTTTTTATTAAATTTGAATTTACTTTATATCTTATATGAAATGATTTCTAAAATACTGTTTATAAGTTGCTACATTTGAAATCATTGCTGAACCATTTGAATTTACTACATTTGAAATGTTGGATCTAGTTGTCACATTAAATCTAGAGATATTGTCTATTAAACTATTGTTAACTATAAGTTTTTTAAGGATGGTTGAAGGAACACGTAAAAATAATCAAAGATACAAACTAAGTGTTATGATTGGTTTTTCAAGTGAGTTTTAGATTCTAAGACCACATTAAGATATGTTTTAAAAAACAATCTGCTTCTAAAAAGAGTTGAAAACTGTTATGCAAATGCAAAACCTAAATATATATGCAAATGTTTTTCTTTAAAGAGAAAACATAATGCTCGAAAATAAATCTTGAAATTGTTAACTTCAGATGTAACGCTGAGATCTTTTTCAAATTTAATTATACTTTGGAAAAAGATAATTTATAAAACAAAGTTAGTGTGCAAGTTGTAAATATTGTGTTTTTAAAGATCGTAATTTTTTGTACAGAGATTTTGTATCATAATAGAACTTCAGTTTATAAGAAAAGTGAAGGCTTTAAATTAAAGGTTATTAAACAGTTAAAATCTAAAAATGATAATGCATTAAAAAAAGACAAAGTTTATCTTACAGTTTTTGATGCGAGAAAGAATGAGACAAAATATTCTTTAATAGGAGAAGATTTCACCAAACACTTGTACTAAAAGATCATTGTTAGGTTTGTGCGTAGCCACGTGCGTAGCCACGTGATTTATATTTGTACTAGTAAACAAATAGCAAAGTAAATTGATTTGAATTTAATGCCCCCAAAAAGCACATAGCAGAAGATGTATATAATAATAGATTACTGCTTACAAAATAGAACCAACTCTCTGTTAATACAGGTAGGTAATTGATAACAATTGCAGGTTAATAATTGATGATAAACGTTATGCATATACTTAAACAATTGTACTTTTGGTCTAAAGCACCTTATTTTAGTTACAGACGATAAAACAATTTCAAACAGCAGGTTTTTTTGACAATATTTGGTGAATTGTCTCTATTGCCAATGATCTTAAAATGTTCACAATATAATTCAAAATCCAAGATATAGATATATAAAATGATTTTTACGTTTTTTAAGATTTAAAATTTGATAAAAGGTTTTTACAAAAAACTTTATCTTGTAATCAAGATTTGTATACCGAAAAAAAAAAGCTGTTAAAAATAAAATAATGACAAAAGATTTAAAGCAATCTCAAGTTAGTATCCAAAATCACGCACGCTCGTTAAACTTGGCAAGTAGACCTGGCTGAGTTTAGATTCCTAGCATGAACTAAATGGAAACACTGTATAAAAGTTAAAACAGGTTCTGTATTAGTGTATATTTTATGCTCTTTTTAGAAGTTTTATTTATTTATTTATATAATCATTTTTTGCTTGTAGAAAACATTTCAATAAAAATAAGTTCAGGTAAAAAATAATGGACCAATAAACTATACCATATCTTGAAACAGCTGAAACGTGTCCGAAAAATGAACTTTAATATTCAGCAAACAGTTTTGCTCAATGATTGTTGCTCTGCCTGGAATGCTCATAATAAATTAATTTAAAAATCACTACTTTGAAGCAAAGATAAAGGAGAAGGATAGTTGTAGTGAAAACAATACTTTTAATAAAAAATTTAATCTCCATCGAAAGTAATGCTGTTAGATTCAAGAAGAATTCCAAATATGAAACTATTATTGAATTACTTTATTTGAGTGCTGATATTTACGAACCTTTTCTCGCATACAAGATTGGTAATTCTTTTTAAACTGTTATGAAAATTCTTATGATGAAATTTCCAAAACATTTTGTGCATGGACATTCCAGGAAAAAAAAAAGTTACAAGAAATTCTACATGGTTTTATTTTAAATTCTAGATGGTTTTACATCGAACAACAATGGCTCAAAGAGAACTTGTTCTTAACTTAAAATCTAAATAGAATTTGCTTAAGCTTTAGACATTTTCAGGCAACAGTTCAAATTTTATTGTATAACTTATATATTCTTGTAAAAGATTTATAAATGCAGCAACAAGTAAACAATATAATTTTTCCTTTTTTTATTTGGTTATATAAATGGTGGTGGCTGAGGTACTTTTGATATTGTTTTTCTACATTACATTTATGGTATTGCTATGCAAAAGTTTACAGCAAA